ATCTATCTATCTATCACTATCAATCACTATCAGTCACTATCTATCACTATCTATCACTACTGGTATCACTATCTATCAGTATATATTATTAATATAATTATCTATCCGCGAAACGAGCTCTGAACGTCCAAAAGTGGTCCGAACGTGGTGTGCGTTGTGCGTTTTGACTTAAAAATGTGCTTCGCGCCACAACGGCGTGCACTTTTTCGACATCGCAACTTCCAAAAGTGGTCCGAAGCTGGTGTGTTTTGTCCATTTTGACTTCGAAATGTGCTTCGCGCCACAACGGCGTGCATTTTTTTGACATCTCAACTTCCAAAAGTGGTCCGACAATGGTGTGCTTTGTACATTTTGACTTCGAAATGTGCTTCGCGCCACAACGGCGTGCACTTTTTCGACATCTCACCTTCCAAAAGTGGTCCGACAATGGTGTGCTTTGTAAATGGTGTGCTTTGTACATTTTGACTTGGAAATGTGCTTCGCGCCAACAACGGCGTGCAATTTTTCATCTCTCATCTGGCCAGCTGGCTCCGCACCCGCCGCTTTAGCGAGCCTACTTTTCGACCCTCCGGAGCCACAAATCATTGGAAAAACACAGTGTTTCGCGACTTTCCTACCTTTTCGCGCATCTGCATCTTCTTTCTTCTGACTCTTTCTCTTCTACTCTTCTCTCTTCTAGTCTTTCTCTTCTCTTTGCCTCTGCCCTGCTCTGCTTTTCATCTGTCCATATTGTCGGAAGTTTGACTTCTAAACTTCCTTCGAACATACAAGATATATCAAGATATACAGGCAATCGATACAGCAGACACTCTCAAATTTTGTTTGTTTTTGACGCACCAACCAACAGGTAGAGTTGATGCGAAGGAGCGTTTCTGCTTTTGCCTCAGAGCTGGCTAAGAGTGGGAATGAGCACGGGGAAGCATCTTCGAACGCATTCCCAATTTGAGTCAACAAATGTAGACAGTTTTGCGCAGTTTTGCTTGGCGTCAAGAGGCAACATTGCCAGCTATGCGAAATTGATGTGAGCTGCTGATTTTAAGGTGAATCATTTGTCACAAAGCTGGAGGAGAACGGAATGAAGGACGGGCAGGTCTACAAGGCATCGCAGACTCTTTGTCAATGAGACCCTGCCACTGTATCGAACGTTGGAGACGGATTTTGGACGATTTCAGAAGTACAAGCATCGAGTTCTACCGTTTCATTTTTTCATATGTGTTTGATTTTGTTGTAATGTTGATGGATCACTTGAATGGTGGCTGCTAAGTAGTTCTTGTTCGTTATGATGCCTTTCTCCCACTCCATTTCACTCCGATTCATTTGAGATTTTTGCTCTACAGGTTGCAGGTTCGGAGGCATCCTTGCTATCGCTGAAGAAACCAGAAATGTTTAACGCGGAGCTGTGATTCCAGAAAAGACAAATGGCATGAATCAAAGGGATTCAAAGGGCGTAATGCTGCTGAGGGGGTGATCTCACAAGCCTGAAAGCAACTTTGAAACCAGCTGCCACAATTGGTGTTGTCACAAGTTGTCACAAGAAATATATACAAACAAATGAATGCTCTTTTGGTTCCCCCAACGATGCGGTGGTTTGCCAGAAGCGAAAAAGTTCAGGAATGCATTTGGGTTTGGTTTTCTTTGGTTTTCTTGTCTTGTGTTGCCTTTGGATGGAGTAAACGCTTTTGTAGTGCATCTACTGCAGGGGTAGGAGTGATTTTTTCCCCATTCTGGGCGTTTTATGGCGTTTTGAGGCCGCGGAAAGCGGACTCTCCGAGGGTGAGGTGCATCACCTATGGCGAAATTGCGCAAGACGATGCGAGCCCGAGTGGTTCAATGTGGTTTCGATATGTTTCGATGTTTTTATTTTGTTGGCGTTGAATAGGTTGGGCATTCGTGGAATTTGCATACAATACAGATTGTCCTGCTGTGAGTAGCAAATCAAGCAATGCGTTCTGCTCAGCTTCGCAGGCTCTTGAAGAAGGAACTGGAAGAGATGCCAGTAGATGAAATGCTGATCATGTTCGTGCATTCGCGATTGACCCGATTGACCTGCTGGATTTGGCGCAGCGGTGCTTCCACAACTTCGCAAACATTGACGAAATACCTCTGGGCAACGACCAAGTTATCCACTTTAGATAACAACTCATCATAACTTATCCAAAATGGCCGAAGAGTTGAAAACACAAAAACCATCCAATCCCAGTTCAATAAAAGTTATTTCCTTGGGTATTGAGTTGTGAACAATGTTGCCAAGGCCAAGAGTGCTGCTCGCAAAGAAAGAAAAGCAGCATTGAAGGCTCCAGCTGAAAATGATATCCATGATCATGCCATGATCCTGTGATATCCTGTGTACGTTTTATGTGCAATTACTTTTGTTTGTATTCAACGCTGTGCAACTGCATATATACATACTATATATTATATATATATATACAATTATATACAGATATTTTGAGATAGTATGCATATGATTGTTGTTTATTTGTATAAAGCACTCCATAATGTGTATAACAACCCCAAAAAGAAGAAGAACAATTGAACGTTTTTTCCAGGATGTTATATATAGATGCTGCTTTTGTCCACAATTTCAAGGTTTCCAACTTGTCTATCGACTTGGGGGTTGCTAATCCGCATATACGGAATTTAGACTGCGTTGATACATACATATGTATATATGTATACGTATGTATATAGAGAGATTGTGTAAATCACCTTGTCTTACATTATAACACATTGCTTGCATTGTATCTTATGCCATACCATACTGGCATAGCATTCCCCGCATACCATACACACAGACACACGCACCTAAAAGCCATATAAAAACAATCATGATAATCATGCATTCAAAAATTGCGCCTGTTGGCGTGACTATCAGAAAAAACTTCAGTCAGACAGATGTTACTTGATCTTATTGTTTCAAAGTCAAGATTGCTGGACAGGCAGTCTGAAGCTGAAGTAAACCGTGACTAAATCCAGTGAATTGTCTTCTGCACAATCACTTCACAGATTGAGCATGGGCGAACAGGCCATGAAAAGAGAACGACGGGCGCAATCCCCAAAGGCAATTGATTTCGCTGCGGGAGCAGGTTGCGTTTATGATGGTATTTATATATCATTATATATCTATATATTACATTATATTATATACATCATACTATATATATATACATATGTATAATATATATGTATAATATATATATATACAGTATATACATATGTAGCTCTACATATCATATTTCGGCGAACACAGGTGCATCTTGAAACCACAGCACAATGTCCCCCAGTTATCCTGGTACGCTTCCTATTCCATCAGTTTTTGGATGCAACTCAACTGCTCTGAAAGGACAAAGCAGATGCAAAGCGAAAGCCTTGCGACAAATGCAATCGCAGTGTGGACTTGCACGGGCCAAAGACAGGAGCCAAGACTTGTCGAAATCATTCAAACTCTGTAGAATCTCACATGTAGTACGCGCAAAATCAGGTTTAAAAAAAACACTCTGTTTGATGTATGATTGTTTCAACCAAGGCTTGTACGCTGCCGAATAGACGTATCACAAAAGTGGTTTATGTCTTGGACTCGGTGTGGGTGTAAAAATGAAATTAAATCAAGCTAAGCGACTGACAGCTAAAGACTTGCATTGTGCTGACTCCGACTCGGCATGTCTGTTTTTGGTTAGGGTTCATTCTCCTCAATTGTCTCATCGGCGCAAGCCACTGATCAAGGTTATGTGGACGTTGCTGGCACTCCGTTTCTGGCGGTGTGCCAGATGGTGACTCCGAGCCAAGCACTCAGAGTCCAAAACACATCAAAACACACAATCCAAGCGCATGTGCAGCCGATGCACTTGACACAGCCAGTGGGTCTCGGGGGAAGTTTCCCAAACCATGATTTGGATTGATTTGGTTGTGTGCTGGTATACCAATGTATACCAATGTATACCATAAAAATGCCATCTATGGAGATCTGGAGAAAGTGATGATACAACTTTGGATTTGAGTGTGCCCAGTTTGGACACACCCGTTTGTTGCATCGTTATCAGGGGCTCCAAAATAGTTCCAATACTGAACTGAACGGGGAGATACAAGGAGTCAAGACCGTAGAAAGTGCAGCCTTCGGCAATTCGACAAGGCATCCACACTACAAATATGGCGGACTCTGGAAAAATCGAGCAGCGAAGGCATGGCAGCATGACAAGACACAAGAACATGCAAGAACTGCTTGCTGCATTGCTGTGCAAAATTTGCCGGAAGTCCTGAGGCAAATCAGATGCGGAGTCTGACAGATTGATATGAAGACAGAGATGAATAAGCAAGTCCTGAAGAAAGAAATCCGACGAAGCAGACAATGTACAATTCAATATATATATACACATTAAATTCATATTGTATGGTCTTTCCATCATTTTCCATCAAGATGCAAGCTACGCCGAATTTGGGTAGAGCCAAGGTGACAACTCCGAGTTTTGCCGGAGCCAAGGTGAAGGCTCTTCCAGAGCAAAACTGATATCAGATTTAGTTCGATTCAAAAGATTTGAAGAGATTTGAAGAGCCTCAAGCCCGTCGAATTCGAAATTCGAGTCGAATTCGAGTGTTGGACTATTAATAATTAATACTGGGTGAAAGCCCTTTCTTGTCTCAGATAGCACTTTGTTGTCTCATCTCGGTGTGCCATGCGGAGGAAGTGACACAACCACTGGAATGAATTACTACATGATTTGTTATTTGGTATGATCTTTACAGCACAACGCATAGGCACGCAGGGATTCTTAACATGGCAAACATGAGTTATATCAAGTTATATCCATTTGCCCCCTAACAATCCCTGGAGCAACGTGAGTTTCCCACACAGTGTGTACACACTCGGGGGTCTTGTGATCGGTCCTCCTCCTCCTCCTTTTCCTCCTCCTCCTCCTCCTCAGTATCATCATCCTCCTCCTCCACATCATCATTCTCAACATCATCCTCGACCTCCCCCTTAAGATCATCATCCTCAACATCGTCATCCTCCACCTCATTTTCTGCAACATCCTCCTCCTCCACCTCCTCTTCCGCAACATTAATTATCATCCTTTTCATCCTCCTCCTCAACATGATCATCCTCAACATCATTATCTTCCTCCGTCTCAACATCGTCATCCTCCACCTCATCATCCTCCACATCATCATCCTCTACCTCATCTTCCGCAACATCATCCTCCTCCACCTCATCTTCCGGACCTATCCACATCGTTTTCACCGTTTACTGTTTTTGATCTGACGTGGGGATACGTGGGTTGGGTTCTGGCTGGGATGGCAAAATGTAATTCCGGTACCTTGTCCGGTATCTCGTCCGGTACCTCGTCCAAAAACCTTTCCAGAGTCATGATTCTGATATTACATCCATATTCCATATATGTCTCGGATTCCGTTACAGCAGGGCAGGGTGTGATTTCAATGTGATTAATTTCAAACTTTGTTTGTGAAAGTCATCCACTCGCCTGCAAGTGTGCCATTGGGGTTTTGGCTCTCATGAGAATGGAAACCTTTATTCTGTTTCTTTTGGATCTTTTGTGCATACCAGAAGGCAAGCTAGTGATGCTGTTTCAATGCTTGGCTAAGCTTTTGACCTGGAATTGCTTTTGGCGATGTGCCCTTGAGATTTGACTCCAAGTTGACAGGTCGCACCTTCCCAAATTCTGATTCCTAGCATAGCTAAATTCAAGCTAGGAACATGATTCAAAGTTTGCAACGACTTCGTGAAAGTCTTCCACTCTCCTGCAAGTGTGCCATTGGGATTTTTTGCTTCTATGAGAATGAACACCCTTTATTTTGTTTTTTTGGGAAATTCTAATATACCAGAACGCAAGCTGGCGATGCTGTTTCAATGCTTGGCTGAGCTTTTGACCTGGAATTGCTTTTGGCGGTGTGCCATTGGGATTTGACTCCGAGTTGACAGGTCGCACCTTCCCATATTCTGATTCCGGGCATAGCTAAATGCAACTAGGGACATGATTCAAAGTTTGCAACGACTTCGTGAAAGTCTTCCACTCTCCTGCAAGTGTGCCATTGGGGTTTTAGTTTTTTTTGAGAGTGGACACCCTTTATTTTGTTTCTTTTGGAAATTCTAATATACCAGAACGCAAGCTGGCGATGCTGTTTCAATGCTTGGCTAAGCTTTTGACCTGGAATTGCTTTTGGCGGTGTGCCATTGGGATTTGACTCCGAGTTGACAGGTCGCACCTTCCCATATTCTGATTCCGGGCATAGCTAAATGCAACTAGGGACATGATTCAAAGTTTGCAACGACTTCGTGAAAGTCTTCCACTCTCCTGGAAGTGTGCCATTGGGATTTTATTTTTTTGAGAATGGACACCCTTTATTTTGTTTCTTTTGGAAATACCAGAACGCAAGCTGGTGATGCTGTTTCAATGCTTGGCTAAGCTTTTGACCTGGAATTGCTTTTGGCGGTGTGCCATTGGGATTTGACTCCGAGTTGGCAGGTCGCACCTTCCCATATTCTGATTCCTAGCATAGCTAAATGCAACTAGGGACATGATTCAAAGTTTGAAACGACTTCGTGAAAGTCTTCCACTCTCCTGCAAGTGTGCCATTGGGATTTTTTGCTTCTATGAGAATGAACACCCTTTATTTTGTTTCTTTTGGAAATACCAGAGCGCAAGCTGGTGATGCTGTTTCAATGCTTGGCTAAGCTTTTGACCTGGAATTGCTTTTGGCGGTGTGCCAGTCAGATTTGACTCCGAGTTGACAGGTCGCACCTTCCCATATGATTCCTAGCAAAGCTAAATGCAACTACGGTAGGGACATGATTCAAAGTTTGCAACGACTTCGTGAAAGTCTTCCACTCTCCTGCAAATGTGCCATTGGGATTTTTTGCTTCTATGAGAATGAACACCCTTTATTTTGTTTCTTTTGGAGATACCAGAACGCAAGCTGGTGATGCTGTTTCAATGCTTGGCTAAGCTTTTGGCCTGGAATTGCTTTTGGCGGTGTGCCATTGGGATTTGACTCCAAGTTGACAGGTCGCACCTTCCCATTTTCTGATTCCGGGCATAGCTAAATGCAAGCTAGGGACATGATTCAAAGTTTGCAACGACTTCAAAACATGATGCATCTGAGCCGCTGTGCCTTGGGGATTTGAAACCTGGGGTAACTATTGTCTGCCCTGGGGTAACTCGGTGTGCCTTGCGGATGGGGTAACTACTAGGTGGATGGGGTAAGTAAGGGCGTCCGCTTGTATCTATATTAATTAGACTCAAGCTTTGAGAAACTGAATTCGCACATCCGCGCGAAGCGGCAAATCGTTTCTTTCCGACCCGTGGAAGCATGCTCACAGTGTCATCATACTTTGCACATCTTCGCACACTGTTGTGTTTTGTTACGGGCAAGTTCACTAATCCACGCATTTTGAGCATCTTTAATCTAGACGTCCAATGGATTCCGTTCTCAAGCTGTTAGAAAATCACAGAAACCCTTTGGACAACGGAGGCCGACCTGCAAACTCTGCAAGATACTGAAGCCGAATGAAGCCGAGTGAGATCATATTACAATCACATCGAATGACGAATGGCGCCACCAGGTCGCACAGTGCCGCGGAAATTCTTGCCAACGAAATATATGAAATGACTGACAGCTTTGACGCATGTTCCATTAGCAAACGGAGAAAATGACAGGTTTCTCCACTGTTTTTTCCTCATGTTTTGCGTTCGAGTTCATTCTATAGATTCTACATCAATGTCATATGTCTCTTGCAACCATGTGGGTCCATTTCCAATGATTGAAAGTCTCTCCTTTCCAGGCAGCCAGAGGTTGAGATGCATTTGCCATCCTACTTGTACATAGAGTATGACCTGGCGAAGAAGTTGTGCCTATTTTTTCTAAATCAATTGATCAGAAGCTTTGCATCTAATTCGCGCCTGTTGGGCAAGACCTAAGTTTTGAAGAGCCTCTAGCATAGGCATAGCTTTGCAATTTTCAGCCTGGGCAATTTTCAGTTCCAGCACTTTACTGCAGCGGGCAAAAGAACTGCACTTCAGTTTTGGCACAAAGGGCCAGTGACAGGCACGAACTAGTGCAGAACAGCACTGCAGTCTGATTTTGGTTGCTTGCTGTTTGGCATAGAAGCACATTCAAACCTATTCAACCTTTAGGGGATCACACGGCTGCATTCTGAATTTAGTATGTCACGTGTGACGATTTGGCACCCATAGCAGTATATGTGATAATGCCATTTGTAGATCAAGCTGGCTGTGTCTTCCTTCAATTGGGCCGCTTGGGTTTGTAATGTTTTGCTGAATGTTTTGCATGCTTCTGCTTTCTGTCACGGCAGTTGATGTTTGAAAACCTCTGACAGACAGACACCATGACGGGGTGTAAATGTTTGTATATCGTGTCATCCCTTGCTTGATGATTTTTTTTGGGGAAATGAAACACGTTGTGTTTTTACAACCATCTGGAAATTAAGACTAAATGCATCTAAATCCATCTAAATCCCAAGTGGAAGTGACGTGTAGCGACTGGGTGTGCAGACATGTGCAAACACGTTATATGTGCATTTTGAGGCTGGAGGAAGATTCAGGACCATGTCTCGGCATAATTCAAGCCGCAGACCCAGAGAATCCCAGACACAAATAGGATTCGGATGGATTCGGAGGAACCAAGACTTGCTTTGATTTGCAAAATCCATCACCGAATGCTTTTCGGGTTGGGTGGTTGCCGGCCCTGCCTCTCATTCAGTTTTCGCCCTTCCTCCGTCTTCTATTGGCCCGGTCTATTTTGTGCTCAGCTCCTCAAAGTTGCAATAAATGAGCTAAAAGTAATTGCCCCAATAGGGTGGACTGCACTCAGCTCCTGCCTGTGCATTGCCAAAAGATGCCAAAACTGTTTGCATGATTTTGCATGTCGTGTTGGCCCGGTCACAGTCCTTCATGGTCCTTCGAGTTAGAAGTTGGTGATTGTTTTTGTTTAATTAACAGTTTTACGTTTTATATTATTTGTATACCACTAGTACCCGCACTAGGCGGCGGAAGTTGCCTTAGGGTTATACTATAAGAGACTATCCTGTAAGACCTTTCTCATCTATGGAACTTGCGTGCGCCGGGCGCCAGCCAGGCCCATGCGTGCGCGTGTTCTGCAAAAGTGGTGTGCTGTTCCAAATGTCACACTTGAAGCTACAGACTTCACACTGCACTGTTCACACTCCACACTTCACACCCTGCACAGACGCTTTTACAATCTTTGACACAGAGAAGCTTATACACAGAGAAGCTTTTACTTACAGCAAGCTTTTACAGGCAGCCAGTTTTTACAGAAGCCTTTACGCAGAGAAACTTTTACATACAGAAGCTTTTACACAGAGAACGCGCCGTCCACAACCGGATCTCGGCGCCAAGGCGAAAAAATACGATTTTGATTTTGAAGCACTTTGTAAAGGAAATTTGAAAGGAAAATCATCAGCGACAAAATTGAGAAAATCTGCTGACGAATCACCATCGCAACCTTCATGCAGCCAGCCCGATACGATTTACAATGCCCAGCTGCAAAAGACAACGGTAGCGCGCACACAGCCGCAGCACCAAGGAACCTTGTTGCAGCCATCACAATGCGATCTGCAGAGACTGAGTTGAAAAACACCATAGGGGTACGCACAGTGGCAGCAGAAATTGTAGTCTCACAACCGGATCTCGGCGCCAAAGAGAAAAATGAACGGTTTTTGAACAGGAGAAGGAGCAGCGCCAAAACGAAAAAATATCTGCTGCCAAAGCGCCATCGCAACTTTGATGCAGCCACTCCACTACGATTTACAACGCCCAGCTGCAAAAAAATGATCGTACAGTATTACGTCCGCAGCCGTCGCGACAAGCAACCTTGATGCAACCATTACAGTGCGATCTGCGCCGGCAAGTGGCAACACATGGCAACACGCATGTATCTACGCACAGCCCAACTGGAGCACAATCCCGCAGACAGCACACTGCGATTTACGAGGAGCCAATCTCGGCACAACGAGCATAGCCGCAACCACCTCACGCGCGAGCTGCCCTTCATCGCCGGCTGCAACCACTGCAGAACACCGTGGAGGAACCAAAAAAGGCCAAAACGAGCATGGCCGCAGCCGCTTCACACACGAGCTGCCCTTCATTGCCGGCTCCGGCCACTATACGCGAAAAAACGCAGTTTTTCGTGCCCCGGCATCCTCCTCAACACAAGTCCCATGCAACGTGCACGCAGCCATTACAATGCATTTTGCACCGCCACGTGGCAAACCTGCATGTATCTATTCATATGGCAACAAAACATGACAACAATCATACAGCAATTCCACTGCGATCTGCAACCGCAGATTCCCAAACACTTTTTAACCACGCACACACGAACACACCCAAAGTATCTTGATACCACAGTTACATTGCGGCAATAACAAAAAACATCAAAATTACAGGACCGGATAACCCCACAGGTCAACTTCTTCCAGTATAACATGACAAAAGTTGTAGCGGGACGGGGAAGGAAGGAAAGACAAAGGAGGTGGTGCAGGATCGAGAAGTTAAAAAAGTTGTGTGTGAAGAGTTGTGTGTGATAAAGTTGTGTGTGTGTGAAAGATGCGTGTGTGTGTGTGACACAATTATGTGTGTGAAAGATTGTGTACAGTGACGCACAACTAAACGACGCAAGTGCTTCCACCGGTCAACAGGGTGACAGATGACCATAGGTCGCTCTGCATGGCCCAGGAGCACACACACCCATGCATAGCGACCAAAATTAAACGATGCAAGTCTGCAAGTGCTTCTTTCCACGCTGGGGCAAAGCTATGCGGCTACTGCAGCAAGATCGGAGGGCATCATATGACACATCAAGCTAACGACCAGCTGCACACAGTCGAGGAATAAATGCACTGCCCATCAGTGAAAACCCTGCTTGTCTTCTGCCCATGGAGAAGATGGAAGGGGAACCTGGGCGCAATGCAAAGGCAGATCAAGTTCAGAAAACACAATGCAAAGACACCACGTCACACTGTTTCATGCGTGTTCTAATCGAAAACAATACAGATGGTTCAGTCTTCCGACCGTTGCATACCAGATGCAGTGGGTGCACATTAACCAATGTGTTCGGAATGCTTTGAAGTATCAAAGCCATGTTTTTTGGGACACCGGACAACTCATGGGCCCCTGGCAATCACACACGGGAAGAATGGGACTGGCGACAAGTGCGCTTAATGCACAAACATATATACCAGATTAGGGAAGTGCGCTTAATGCACAAACATATATACCAGATTAGGGAATGAATATGTTTGAGCCTGCGGAGAAACAAGGTTGAATGAATCAATCATGACGCAATCTGAAAGCTTGTTGGCACAGGGAAAATCAATCAAACTGTCGTGAACCAAACGCTCCACAGCCATGCCTGTCCTATGTCCACGGGCTCGGAAAGGCACCTGTGCACAAGGCAAATGCAGCTGATGTCACAAGGCAGCGTCATCCCTGTGTCACAAGACAACGTTTTTGGGACATCGGCCAACTCATGGGCACCTGGCACTCACACACGGGGAGAATTGAATTCAAAGAAAGGTGAAGGAAAACTGTTCGAACAGTCTGAAACGACAAGTTCGATGCTGGATATGACAATGCGAAACATTCCGGTGCCAGAAGCGCCACGCCTGCCACGCAAAACGAAGGTGAATGTCGCCAAGTGCCACGCCTGCGTGAAGCAAAGGTAGATGTTGCCAAGTGCCACAGCTGCCAGGCAAAGTACCGCGGCATCACGGGTGACTGACGGCGACCAAGCGCGCCACCAGAAGTGCCACGCCTGCCACGCAAAACGAAGGTGAATGTCCCCAAGTGCCGCGCTTCCCACGTGAAACGAAGATTCGAAGATGGATCTCGCCAAGCGCCACGCCTGCCACGCAAAGTTCCGCGGCGTCACGGGCGACTAACGGCGACCAAGTGCGCCACCAGACCCAGCCCAGTGCAACAAGCGCCACGCCTGCCACGCAAAACGAAGGTGGATGCCGCCAAGTGCCACGCCTGTGACGCAAAACGAAGGTTGATGTCAGCAAGCGCCACGCCTGCCAGGCAAAACGAGGGTCGATGTGAAACGAAAGCGAATGTCACCAAGTGCCACGCTTGCCACTTGAAACGAAAATGTCGCCGAGTGCCACACCTGCAACGCAAAGTATGTCGCCGAGCGCCACGCCTGCCATGCAAAACGACGGTAGATGTCGCCAAGTGCTACGCCTGCCACGCAAAGGGCCGCGGCACGCGAAAGTGCCACGCCTGCCACGCAAAGATGGTGACTGGATAGTGTGTGACAAAGCTGTGTGTGAAAGATGGTGTGTGTGACAAAGGTGTGTGTGTGTGTGAAAGATGGTGTGTGACCAAGTTGTGTGTGAAAGATGGCGCGTGACGAAGGTGTGAAGATGGTGTGCGAGAAAGTTGTGTGTGAAAGATGGGGTGTGTGTGTGTGTATGTGAAAATATGTGAAAGATGGTGTGTTACGAAGTTGTGTGTGAAAGATTGCGTGTGTGTGTGTGTGTGACAAAGTTGCGTGTGTGTGTGTGAGCAAGTTGTATGGGAAGGTAGGGAGTGAGAAAGTGGTGTGTGACAAAGTTGTGTGTGAAAGATGGCGTGTGACGATTGTGTGTGGAAGATGGTGTGTGACGAAGTTGTGTGTGACAAAGTTGTGTGTGTGTGTGTGAGCAAGTTGTAAGGGAAAGATGGGGTGTGAGAAAGTGGTGTGTGACAAAGTTGTGTGAGAAAGATGGTGTGTGACAAAGCGGCGGAGGAGGATGAGGAGGAGGCGGGCGGGATACAGAATCAAAAACAATAACCCCACACAAAGATGTGGGGAACAAACAGTCCGCAACCGCCGCGCACACGAGCTGCCCTTCATCGCCGGCTGCAGCCACTTTACACGAGAAAACACTGTGTTTCGCGTTCCGGCATCCTCCCCACACAAGTCCCATGCAACAATCCTGCAGGCATTACAATGCGTTTTGCACCACTTCCCTACGTCTCCACTTCCCTAAGTCACACCAGTTCCCTAAGGCACCACTTCTTTAAGTCATCACGTCCCTAAGTCACCACTTCCAGTCACACCACATCTCTAACTCAATACTTCCCTAAGCTAGGTCGCACCACTTCCCCAAGCCACACCTCTTCTTTAAGTCAGCACTTCCCTAAGTCACCACTTCCCTAGGCCACCACCTCTTTAAGTCATCACGTCCCTAAGTCACCACTTCCAGTCACACCACGTCTCCAAGTCAGCACTTGCCTTAGTCAAACCACTCCCCCAAGTCTACCCCCAGTCACCACTTCCCTAAGTCACCACTTCCCTATAGGCCACCACTTCCTTAGTCACCACGTCGCAAAGTGTCCCAAATGTGTTTGTAACTCGGAAGATTGCTTCCCAACTTCCTTTGAATATGTTTTTGTGTGTTTTGTCAGACGGTGTATCACATGGTGCTAGGGTGCTTTGGTCTCCAAGTTCGAAACAAGGCGAAAGCCGAGATCGAGGGCCAAGCCGCCGGAGGCAAAAAGTCCCAGAGCGCTGCAGAATGTTGGGCAAATTGATTGATTGATATATTGATATGATGGAAATCATGGATACGATGGATATTGACGGATCTGACGATGGATATGGATATGATTTGATGGATATGAAGGATATATATATATATACCCTCGGGGCCCCAGGTTTCCGCAAGGGGTGGGGTGGGGTGGGGCATGTTAACGTCATGTTCATGGTACTTGATGGGTGGGTGGGGTGGGGCATGTTAACGCATATTTATGTTACGTTGATGGGTGGGTGGGGTGGAGTTGGGCAGGTTACGGTCTGTTCATGTTACGTTGATGGGTGGGTGGGGGTGGGTGGGGCATGTTAACGTCATGCTCATGGTACGTTGATGGGAGGGGTGGGGTGGGGCATGTTAACGTCATGTTCACGGTACGTTGATGGGAGGGATGGGGTGGGGCATGTTAAGGTCATGTTCATGGTACGCTGATGGGTGGGGTGGGGTGGGGCATGTTAACGTCATGTTCATGGTACGTTGATGGGAGGGGTGGGGTGGGGCATGTTAACGTCATGTTCATGGTACGTTGATGGGTGGGGCGGGGTGGGGTGGGGCATGTTAACGTCATGTTCATGGTACGTGGAAACTTTGAAAAAGAACATGTTGCAGCATGTTGAAGCAGGGTGTTGACGTTGATACAACAACGAGGAAAAAAGTGACTATCAACATATCCCGTTTCATGCTAACATAAAAAAATATTGCAAATACCAATAAAAAAACAGCCCTTCATATTACACCACGAGCGGCAGTAAAAACAGTACTTTTCCGCTTATAAAAACACAACGACTTTCATGAAATGTGTTATTTCGTGTGGGAAAACAAGAAAATCAGAAACTTTGAAAAAGAACATGTTGCAGCAGGCTGATGAAGTTGAAGCAACAACGAGCAAAAAAAAGGCTGACTATCAACATGTGCCGTTGCATGCTAACGTTAAAATTCACTGCAAATACCAATAAAAAAAGACACCTCTTCATATTACCCCACGTGCCGCAGTAAAAAATGACAATTCCGGATAAAAAACAAAGAAATTCATGAAAAGTGGTATTTCGTGTAGGAAGTACTGTGGATAACATGTCATAACATGCAATTTGCGCGGGCCTAAAAATTTAGCTCCGTAACATTGTCATTAAAGAAAGAGAAAGAAGAATGTGCAAAATCCACATTTCACTTTGGCGAAACAATGATTGTTGACATATGGATCAATGAGAACCAAGATACTCTGCGGAAACCTAGGGCCCCGAGCGTATATATATATATATATGACGATGGATATGGATGGATATGGACGGATTCGGATATGGCATAGTGATGCATAGAGATATTAGACATTGCGGTTCCAAATTTCACAATGGTCGTAGATGTGTCGTAGATGTGCAGGAATATGTCATAAAGATATAGTAAACAGGTTTAAAAAATGGTAAAAGTAAAAACATTAAGTGCAATAGCATGCAAATTTTATATTGTGTATTTATTTTCTGCTCATTGGACACGTACATACATGTAATACAGTTGACGCTTCGACAATGCAAATTTGACCTGAACAAAAACTAATTGGTACTTGTAAGTGTTGGTCTTGTGTAAGCCACGCTCAAGTCATATCAGCTGAACATAGTTTTTGCTGTCAATTTCGTGTCATTGGAGCTCTGCTGCATTCTGCTGCTATGCATGGCAAGGTACCCGGATAGCCCTCGCAGAGCAGACAGCCGTGATAGAGGCATAGCCGTCACGGAGAAGGGTCCACTCCTGGAAGGTTGATGAAGATTGCATGTCATTGTCATTGCACATGTCAGCTTGTCACATTGCATGTCTGTCTCCCTACCGTTTTGTTGCCAAAAAGAAAACCCAAGTTGGGCTCAAAGCAAACACAGCAGGTAAAGGTCGAGACTATGACGCCTGGCAGCATTGTGAATCCAAGTGACAGCGGGGAGACTAGCGGGCACACGTTACTCCAACCAGGCAGACGGATCATGACGCAGCATCCCAGATTGAGCAGGGAACCGTCGGAAAGCATAGAGGATAGAGAACACATGAGAACATGGAGAGCCAGTTTTTGGAGCATGAAACCCGCACAATTCGGATCAATTCCGGACCATTCTGCTGTCTCTTTGTACTTGGATGCATTGTACACTTGAGCTCAGCCAGATCCAGTTCGCAATCAAGAAGATCTTGATAGATCAATTATCTCAAATTGTTGTACTATTGGCGATCTATGTCGTTATTTTTCGTAGAACGTCAAAGTTGTGCAGTTGCACTTGTTGCAAGACCAGGACAGAGGTGGGAGCCGAGACAGGCCTGGCATCATCAACGTATCATAGTTTGTCAACCCGCAGAAATCAAAACGTGCAACAGCACTCCGCCCTAAGGCTTGACATGGCTTGACATGGCTTGACCATGTGCTTCCCAACATTTCCTGTTACGAAGTGATCCGAATGGTTGACGTTTGTTCAGATTGTCCATCCTCAAACGAGTGCAGGGATGACAGAAGAGGCCGCTCCAGGAGAGGAAGGTGAGCCGTACTGGATCATGTGGATCCGGCTGGTGGACGCGATGAAGATGTGATAAGTCGAGGGATCAGTCACGGGACACGATATGACGAGATATGACGAGACAAGATATGGCAAGATTCATCAAGATTCACTAGTTGCCCTGTGAGGAGCAGAGGCCTCACTCAAAGTGGTTACAGAAGCTCTGTATCCGGCAACTCCACTGGAACTCCGTAGAAGTCTGGAAGTGGTAATCTACACTCCTCTCCTCAATCAGGGTCCGACATGGTTGCCAGACATGGTCCATCATGTGATCCCAGCGTAAAAAATCAGAAATAGTCATAGGTCGTGGGTCCCTTTAATGATATGGACGACCACTTTGTAGTTTTTGGAGATTTGACGAAGCAGATAGATCATAACGCATGACTACAACTTTGAAGGGGGAAATGTCAGCCAGCCCAATACACCATAATACAACCTCAAAATATGAAAATACCACTTGCATCCACTTGCTATGAAGCCTAACTCCCAATGACATCCTGTAACCCTTGTGGAGGTCGCGGGATTATGATCGCCGAGATCGCAGTCCCAGAAGAAACTGTGGCAGGCTGAAACTAAGATGTTTTTGATCGTGGCATATCGTAGAATTTTGCAGCATTTTTTCATATATGTTGTTTAATTTTGATGAAGATTGATGGAGCCTGTATCATACTGTACATATTGAACTCAGCAAAACGGATTGGCTTATGAAGATGAATAAATGATAATAAATGAGTCATAATGGTGACGTACGTGTCATACGCCACTACATCCATACACATACAATATCATGCAATACATGCATATACATACGTATATATATATATATTCATGTTGATCATATATTGTGTATGTGTCCCTTGAGATTGATTAAATATGACTGAACACTATTTAATGTGCCTAGCATATAGCCATGTATGCAAACGCAACACGGACAGGACGACCCATGTTTGCGACTGTTGATTTAGCTCTCGGACACTTTTTGCGAAAAGGATTTAAAAAAGGCTAAATACCAAATGCATACGGTTATAACATTATATATTATAACAGCGTATTATAACATATTATAACATAATGCCACGTGATTGGATCGATGG